AGAATCAGTCAAATTGAAAAAAAAAATGTACATGTTCTGTTTCAAAGAGATTCACAGTTTACGTATGATATTATGTATATTCATAAATATATATATATATATATATATATATATATATATATATATATATATATATATATATATAAGCAAGTGTAAATGGATATAAATCTGAAAGAATATAAATCCGATTAGAACCTAATAGAATTCTTTTCATTTTCTTTTTTTCTTTTTTCATTTCAAAATAATCACAAACTTTTAGGAATACGTTATGAAAGCGTCGCCCATGTGACGACAGCGTGACCATGTTAGACGGAAAGGCTGATCATTTTAAAAATTTTTCAGTTATCTGTTCTGAATAAGACTTGTGTTTTTATGTCCATCGTATTTGTCATATTGAACTGAATTGTATTTTGATGAATATTGTCTTGAAAAGGTTTAATAAACCGAAACGTCAGACGTCGACATTTCTTTCATTTAACTACATTTAAGGATTTTTGTTTGTTTTTTCAAAATTTCTTCATATATATATATATATGTATATATATATATATATATATATATATGTGTGTGTGTGTGTGTGTGTGTGTGTATGTGTGTTTGTGTGTGTGTGTGTGCATGTGTGTAATAAATTTTGGTTTTTAATTCCGACAGTGTTATAAATTATTGACATTTGGAAAATCGTTTATTTTTGGGACATATTTTTCTTGAACGTTTTTCCAAATTTAAATAACTTTTACATATATATATATATATATATGTGTGTGTGTGTGTGTGTGTGTGTGTATATATATGTATGTATGTATGTTTGTATATATATATATATATATATATATATATATATATATATATATATATATGAAGAAAGTTTTGATACCACAGAACATAAATACTGCCTTGAAAAAGCGCATAGAAAGTTTCATTTATTCACTCTTTATGATCTTTAAAACAATCAGAAGGAAGATGTTCGCAAAAAAAAGCAACATTAAAAAAAACATGAGAAGAAATGTTGGAACGCGATTTAAAAAAAATTCTTTTTAAAACAATTTGTTTTTAAAACAATTCACGAACTTAAAGTATTAAATTTTCCAAGTTAGTATTAAAAAATGAAAAGGTATTGCTCACAAACCTCCAACTAATCATAATGACAGAATATTTCTCTTCTGCATTTATTATTTTAGTATGTTTGTGAGCATAATCCTGGGTCTCGGCTTATTTTTGCAAACTATTTCCTTCTAATAATTGTAAGGATCCAAAAGGGCGAAAAATCTGTCTACGGTTTGCTCAATATAACTGCAGTATAAACCACAGGTTGGCACTATCGGGGTTGTAGAATCAACAGTGTGCTTGATTATCTGAATGCAATAACAATTAGATGGTCTTCATAGCAGCCGGGGGACCTCAGAAGCGAAAAGCTAGCTATAATATTATATAGTATAACCTATATCCACCTATATGACATTGCATCAACTTGCTCGCGCCACAATACATATATATATATATATATATATATATATATATATATATATATATATATATATCTGTGTGTAGGTTGACATCATTTTGTAGTCTATTAATTCTCGCTCAAATGTTGTCAAAACCTTAATAACTTGACTGTGTGGAATTATCTCAAAATGAATCTACCATGAAGATGGAAAGGGCGTGCCAAAGATAATGACAATGTGCTGTTAAAATGGCCATGATCACCTGACTTGACACATTTTTTTTCTATGGGGCTATGTGAAAGGACACATGTGTATCCCCACTCTTCACGCAACCCTAGAGGAACTTAAGCAGTGAATCACTGAGACGCTGGAGAATGTTGCGCAAGACACTCTACAACCTGTTTGGCAGGAGCTGGTCTACCGTTTTGATGTATGTCATGTCACAGATTATGCACATATTGAACATTTGTGAAGCTTTGTAAGATCGCTTATAATATCTACATTTCTTTGAATTTCTTGTTTGAATTTTGACAAATAAATCATTTAGTGTTTAGCAGGAAGTCTGTTTAATTTCGCTAGTCTGTAACATTCAGTTACTCAGATATTCAAATTTTAAATGATGTCAATTTGTTTTGCCAACTTGCGCACACAGACACACACACACAGACACAGACACACACACACACACACATATATATATATATATATATATATATATATACAATGATACTAAATACGCACGTTTGGTACAATTGTGGTTCTATTGCACGTCAAGCACAAATTGAAAACTGCCACGTGCATGTTGTACAAAACGGTGGGGGGTCAAATATGTATTTATTATTTGTACACATACGCGCACATACGCGCGTGCGTACGCACACACAGTCACAGACTCACACAGAGACACACACACAGATACACACACACAATCATATATATATATATATATATATATATATATATATATATATATATATATATATATATATATACCAACATACACACACACTCATAGATAGATAGATAGATAGATAGATAGATAGATAGATAATGTGATACTTGAACCCCCGTACATTGACTTTATGAAATGTCTTGTTCTGCCGTCTGAATATGATCACTTGTGAGCCTGTTTAGGTTCAGAGGGAGTGAATTATTGGTTTTCGAACAGGGTAATATCCCATACTCATGTGATGTTCTATTTAGGAAACTGTAGGGTCAGATATCGATGTACGTCGTCACATGTGTACTAGGAATACATGTTGAAAGTCATTACCAACCAACGTAGTCTTCAAGAAAACGATACTGACTCAAAGCCCATCAACTGTCGAAGCAGAATCACATATGCAATGTCAGCTCAACACTTTTTACCATCCATAATATGTGGGAGCTAACGATACATCCCTGTGCAAATATATACATCGCGATAGTAGGCATACACCTAGGTCCGTGAAGTTAATAATTAGACACTGAAAAATTGGTAATGGATTTAGAACTGATGGTTGGGTTCAGATGAGTTCCCCTACAGCGATTTATTATTCCAATAGGATGATTCCCCATGCCATGGCGAACAATTTGCCAAGAAATGGAAGTGGTTGCGAGGTCTGTTACCTCAGAAGATCCTCCATTTAAAAACATTTGCAAGTTGTGGATATCTATAACTTTTTTTATAATTTCCCACCATTTGTGAACGCGGTGACTCGTCGATACTAGACATCTGTCAGATAACTATTTCGAACGACTATGTATAGGTATGAAATATATGAAGAGTGAAAAGCATTGAAGTATGCAGGGATATATAGCTATGTTTTTCTAAGTAAAATTGTTTATTTGACATAAGAAATTAGTCTAACTTCATATTTCTTTTCCATATGTATGAACACACTTATGGAACTGTGAGAAACATAAATCCTATTTCTTTTGATCTTAGCAATGGTTCTGTTTTCTTCTTTGCTGTTGTAGTTGTTGTTATTATTATTATTACGTTTTTCTCAAGCATATTTTATACCTTAGTTGAACGATAAGAAACCTGCCATACCAAACATGGAATCTGTTATTTGTTCACCTCTCTTTATCTGCAAAATATTTTTCAGAATTCTGGCTGTCACAGAGGTGTTTTCTTACCATCCTGATCTTATCTCTCTTTTTTTTAGCTTTATTTGTCCCAGTTACAAACAGGCCCATAACAAAAAGGATAATTTCTATTTTATTAGTCCATACAAACATGTTGATCCATGATTAAAATCGTGATAATTTTTTTCTACTTTTCTTCCTCAACTAATCTTACCTCTCCTGATATCCTTATAACAATGATTCAATACTACTATTACTACAAATAATAATAATAATAATAATAATAATAATAATAATAATGTTTTTTATCATTATTATGTAAAAGAGAAAAGGAAAATTTATCTTAACCGATGATTTTCGTCCACTGAGCGACTTTATAAAGGCAAATGTAAGGATTTTATTTTCGAATAATTGTTTATATATAAGATCAAAAATATAATTATTTTCCCGAAAATTTTTAAATTTAAGAATGCTCGAAATATTCCCCAGGTTAAGCAAAATATCAGGCAATCTATGGAGGACGCTAAATGACAAAATTCAATGTCTAATAAACGAAAATGTGTAAATGGTGTTCTTGAATTTTTCTTAATGTAAATTAGTATTAAATTACTTTTGTTTGGGATTGATTTATGTGTTATGAATTCAACCATTTCTTTTTTGTTTTTAGTCATTTTTATAGACATGTATGTTCGCTTGGGAAAGTAGTAATTCTTTCAGGAATGGAAATATTTGAAAAATTCCGGAACGCAGATTTATATTTTGATAAAATTCCATAACGGCACTTTCGAGAATTTTCTTTCAAATTTACTTTCTGCTTTAATAAGCGTGGCATTCTTTAGATCAAATTTGTGGTTGAATTCATTTGTATGTATAACTAATGCATTTGGTAATTTTTGTGTATACGATCCCTTTTGTGTTCAGGGATATATATATTTGTTCTAAATTTCGTCAGTTTTCCCTAAAGTATTGTGAGGAGCAGTTTAGGCAATTTATTTTATATATACTTGCTTCAGAATTATTATGTTCATGCGTATAATATATAAGTATTTGCACAATTAAACCAACTGCGCAACCAGATGTTGTGTTCAAAGAGCTTTTCTTTAAGTTCCAGCAAAAACATCTGTTACTGCAATCAGACACCCAAAATCTTCGTGAATATTTACCCATCTTCGCAGTGTCTATCAACAATAATCTCGCCGTGCAATAATATTTTAGCCTGATCTCCACAAACTCCGGCTGGCGGACACGTCATATAAAGATCAAATGGTTTAGGCTTGCATGGTGTTTGTCTATAAGTTAAAATGAAACCATCCCAGATAATATCCTTAATGATAATAACTATTTTGAAGTTTTTTGTCTACTGTTTGTGGTCATACAATCTTGTCTAGAAGTTGATTCTTTGAATTTTATACACGATGTTATGTCACCAATTTTAAAGTTATATGTACTGATGAAATATTTTTGTATCCTATTTTATAACAAAATAAGATAACTGAAAAGTAACACTTGCACAAGATTAGCTAAAGTCTTGTTTTTATGCAGCAAATGGCTTTTTAGGAAGCAGGCGATCATGGTTCGGTACACACGCCCGTCGTTTGTTGCTCTAAGTTATTTTTTACCTTTCTTTTTGATACAAACTCATGTATTCCTTTCTCCTACTGTTGCCTTAATATATTCTGTAAGTGTTACATTCTACAAACAATTTTTCCCCTTTATGTATAAGAGAAAATTCAACTCTCTCTATCTAATTATGAGTGGAGGATTCATTGCAGATCTTATTTTTCTTAAAACTTCCTCATTGAGATCATATATTCACGTTATTCTCAGTATTCATCGTCATGAACTGTATTATATGGCCCAGTGGATAAAGGCGTTGGTTGGGTCTAGTCACTTGACCCAAAGAGTTGTGAGTTCATATACCTGCCTACTGGAGTGGTGAACAAAAAATTGTAAAGTTGAATTAAAGGGAAATAACTTAAACATCCGGAAGAGATATGGGCTCTGGAACAAGAAAAACCTACCCCAGTGGACTAAATAAATGATTCAAAAAGAAATTCCAATCACCTGAAGAAGGCCGGAGCGTACAACGACCGAAACGTCGTGAATATTGCAACAATGATTGGCAAAACAGTTGGAACAATGTAAATCTCAGACAGTCGATATATTAACATTTTATTTGATTAATATTTAAAATTAATATTATTTACTATTAATATATGAAATCAGTTTATATAATAAATTATAAGGTTTATACAATTTTCCTTTATATATATATATATATATATATATATATATATATATATATATATATATATATATATATAATTCCATCTTTTTATATCCCTCTCAGATTTGATTCAACTTTTACAATCAAAACATCCGCTAGAGTAAAAGGGACGCAACCTTTTATCGTTTTGGCTTGTTTTCTGCTAGTTTTAGATTTGTTTTTCTATTTTTAGTAATTTAATAAGGCGTAGATTACTGTATAATTTCCAATTCTCAGTTTGAACAACCGTTCCAAAGTGAAATTGCTCTAAGAACCCATAAAATATTATCATGGATCCACCAATTTGCTATTTTTGTGTCGAACGCCAGTAAAGTTACATGGACCCCTAGGGTCAATATAAACCCCGGTTGAGATAGACCTATGTTCTAAACCATAGTAAGCGCTGATTCCTACGAGGATACTGAGAATGTTACGCGCTTTTACTCAGCCACCAAGCATTTGATATGTATATTTAAATACATGAAATATAATTATAAAATAATGTTGAAAAATACTCTGATGATTAGTCATTGATTTATTTGAGGAAGTTGAGAGAGCGGCAAAGATTACACTTCGGCAAAGTCTAATCTTAGGACGCAAATAAAAAAAGCCGAACTGTAAAATGTTTTTTTCTCGCCGCTATTTCTGTATACGCCTTCGATTCTTTCGGTATTGCTTAAAAAAACAACAACTTATGATTAGAATATTAATAACAACACTGATGAAACACACTATATAATTATTAAATTGTTTAGTTAAAAGTAGTATAGCGTCAAAAGAAAAACAGTCTTTATTTGTTTTGTTTTATCCTTTTTCCTTTTTTTTTTTTTGCAAGCTCGAAGTTTAAACATTTTCCCCACATCTAACACTCCACAAAACACTTGAACTCAGGAAGAATTTCGTTAAATTAACTACAAACAATAGTTGTTAAATCCAGTAACACAAATTAAAATTTTCAACCAGATAACATCGATTTAAAACTGTAAGCAGACATTTTCATTGGACGCGCTAATAGAAAATTGATATCTAAAAATGTGTGTAGATATCAATGGATACACTTGAGTTATCAGCATGACTTTTATTCTTTTTGGCTTTTCAGAATTTGGGCTCTCGTAGTGAAAATTAAGTTTATTAAAATAAGATAACAGTATTTTAGAAGTATAGTATACAGGGAGTTCTTTTTACAAATGCACTTCATGCACTCTCTTGTTGATTTTTCCAATCTGGTTGCTGTAATAAATAAATGTATTGTGAGAGCTTCAACCAGAACCAGAGATGGCAACTCGTTATCAAGGCTGTATCAACACAAGGATATTGGGTAACTTCTTTTGGTTACTGAAACGGAAGACAATCTAATACAGCAAAAGCAAGAACAAGTTTTTTTAAATAATTCTGATAATATCGCAAATGAATTATTCTAAAAATATCGTTATATTTGCCTAAATTTCTAGGATGAAAAGCTATCAGTATTTACATTATTGAAATTAGTTCTGGTTTTTGTATGTTCAAGACTGAAAGGGATATATTTGTTCGAAGTAGCAAAGTGGTTTTGGACTACTGTAACCGAGTAGGATAATCTAGCAGGTAACCGTAATGGACTGGACCTCGTCGTAGTGGTAGGCAATAGGCGAAGACAATAGACGTAGCCAATAAGCGTCGTCTTGTACCTCCACATCAGTCTGTATTTATGGCTGACACCAGCCAATCATATTACTGTGAGGG